CAGCAAAACCCTCCGCGGGGCTCGAACCCGCAACCTCCTGATAACTCAACCAAGGACTAATTTAATCCGACCAATAGGCGCGTAGAAGTCAGGTGCTCTAATCCAATTGAGCTAGGAGGGCTTTAAAGTGCGAATTTTAAAGAAGCTATTTAAACCTAGCTGCGCTTTTTGTGGCAAAGAGTTGCGAGTAGTTGAGCAGAGATGTTGGTTGCTTAAACAACAGGTGCCTCTTCAGCCTCCAAAACAACGGCAACTTCTGTCACTTGCACATCCCAGAGCCATGCCGAAAATCCCTCCATGTAATATCAATCGAATCAGATCAAACATTTTTTTCTTTCTCTTTTTCTCTCCGGTTGCAAATTAGCTTTGAGTAGGATATGGCGAAAAAGAAGAAGCAACAGCAACCTCCGGCGGTCAGTGTGCCGATGGACGAGTCGGAAGACGAATACATGAGCGCAGAGGACATTGATTTTGTGCAGCAAAACGCCGAGAGCCTTGGGTTTCTCAGTTCAGTTAACCCGGAGAGTCTGTCGAATATCAAAAAGGAGACCAAGGAAAAGCGCGTCAAACGTAAAGCCAAGCCAGCGGTCCCGCCGCCGGCCGAGCTGACGGAATCTGAGGATGAAGAGCTGGTGGCAGAGGACAGCGATTCAGATATGGAGATCTTGAGCGAGTCTGAAGAGGAAGAAGAAGACAAAGAAGAGTATATCAATAGCAAGGAGAGGCGGGCGCTGAAGCGAAAGGCCATGTTTGGCGACGAGATGAGCTATGAGCAGAATGCGCGGAGCTTTGTGCAGGCAGAAAAAAAGACCAAGGAAACCAACAAGCTGCCGATCAAGACAGCGGATGGACGATTGAGGGTAGCCGAATACTCGGACGACGACGAGCCTGAACCTGAGTCTGAGCCTGAGCCTGAGACTGAACCGGAATCGGGACCTGAACCGGAGAGCGGAGACAGCGCAGATGAGTCTTTGGAAGCAACTCCTGAAAATGCTGAATCGGATGAAGATACAAAGCCCGATCGTGGATCCATGTCTCGTAAAGAGTACATCATAACGCAGCAGAAACGGCTGGCGACAGTTGCCGATGCAATCATGCAGAATCCCGAAGAGGCGCTGGGCAAGCTCAAAACCTTGCAGGAGATCAGCGAGGATAGCGATCCTCGGGTCAAGCGGCTGGGTCTGCTGTCGCAGCTAGCCGTGTTTTGCGACATCTTGCCTGACTACCGTATTCGCGAGCTGACTGAAAAGGAAAAGGAGATGCGAGTGACCAAGGAAGTGCGGCAGCAGCGCGTGTACGAGGAGCGGCTAGTCCGTAGCTACAGCGCATATCTGAAGCAGCTGTTTACGGCATCTAAGCGCGCAATGAAGATATTTAGCAATAGCTCGGCGGACATTGAAACCGGGATAGTGGCAGCGCGGGCACTGGGAGAGCTGATCAACAAGCACCCGCACTTTAACTTCCGCAAGGACATTCTGTCGGCGCTGGTTGACATCTATGTGCAGCCGTCCTCGCGCATAAACTTTGCGCCGTTTACGCCTATGGCACAGAATGCACGCCTGGCTATATTGAGGCTGTTCCGCGACGATGTTTCAGGCGAGGTGTCGCAAAATGCCGTCATCCTGGCGTCCAAGCGGATCAAGCGCCTGTCGTATCGGGTGGATCCAAGCGCCCTGCGACCGTGGCTGCACTTACGGCTGCGTGAGGAGCTGCGCCAGAACCCCGATGACCGCAAACGCGCTGAGGAAGAGCAAAAGCGCAAGGAGCAGCGGCGGGAGCAGAAGAAGCTGCTAAAGCGCAAGAAAGGCAGCGCAGCGATAAAGGAGGCCAAGCGGGCGCTGCACATGTCCAAGAAGCAAGCCAAGACAAACAAGATGCAGCAAGAAGTGGACAAGTCTATGCGCGAGGCAGAGGCAGAAGTATCGCGTGAAGAGCGGGAGCGGTGGTATGGGGAGACGCTCAAGCAGGTGTTTATTACGTACTTTAGGATCCTCAAGCAAAAGGACAATATCGGTGGGCTGCTGCCGGCGGTCCTGGAGGGGCTGGCAAAGTATGCGCACTTGATCAGCGTCGAGTTCTTTGTTGATCTGTTCCAGCTGCTCAAAAAGATTATGCGCGGCCAGCATGGCGTGGGCGTGGGTGCTGAGGACACTGCGGACGACGGCGACTTGGTATCATCCCGAATCAGCTCGCGTACATCGCTGCTATGCATTCTGACCGCGCTGCACATTCTGACCGGCCAGGGCGAGGCGCTTAACCTGGACATTCAGGACTTTTTCTACCAGCTCTATGCGCTGCTGCCTCCATTGGCTACCAACCCGCAGATTGAAGCTACGCGCATGTCGCTGCAGTCGGATGGCACGCGGTACACAGTGTACCTGACCCCAGCCGAAGTTGCAGCCGCTAATGCCACTGCAGATGCCGATGGTGCAGCGTGGGAAGAGACGGTGCGCAGTGAATCCGACCTGCTGTTCGAGTGCCTCAACATGATGTTCTTGGGGCGGACCAAGGTCTCGTCGATTACTCGAGTGGCTGCCTTTTGCAAGCGCGTGATGATGGCGGCGCTGTACTGGCCGCCACGGACAGCTGTTCGAGCCATCGAGTTTGTCCGGCGCCTGCTGATAAAGTACCCCATGCTGGACCGCCTGCTTTCCTCCGAAGAACAGGCCGGCAGCGGCCTGTACCTGCGTGACCTGGACGATCCGGATATGTGCAATCCCTTTGCCACATGCCTCTACGAGCTGCATTGGCTCCAGATCCACAACCACCCTCAGGTCCAAGCAGCTGCATCCCAGCTACTAGCATTTGCTAAAGCTGAAGAGAAAAAGGCTAAAATAGCTTGATGAATGGGGGACTTTTTCTTTTTCTTTTTCTTTTCTGGATACATCTTTTTAATATCTAAAGCTTGAATTGAGACGCGTCGTTTTTTATATATACTCATTCCTGTACATTAACGCGTTATAGTGGGACAGCTCCCATTAGAGAAGAGGTACCCAACTAGTGAAGCAACTTCTTTTTCAGAGTTATTAATTTTAAATCTTTAGCAACAGACCTTTTTTTTTGTATATAATGTCGGCAAGTGTGGCGACTGGGACTTCACTAAAGGCGCATATGGATACTACACGATCTCTATCAGCATCACCGGATGCAGACGAACACGTCTCGGTCGACTTTGAAAACGAGCTACAGCAAGAGCTCGAAAACGAAATGAGTGCTTCGTACGACAACTTGTTTAGCGACGATGGTTCAGAGGGCGGCCATGATACCGAGACATTCAGCGACGACAGCGACTTATTTGGCGACGGAAGCATAGAAGAGGAGGAGGAGGATGGCTCAGCATCTGAAGACGACGACTTTGAGGCTGTCGACTTTGACTTGGACTCGTTCCAGGCCGAGCTGGAAGGAAACCTTAGCGCTGACACAACACCACAAACACGCAAACGGCCACGACACACAGTAAGCATTGGTGACACCGACATGCTAGAGCGATTCAAGGACGAGAGTCCTTCTCTGATGCTGCACCTGTTTGACTCCCACTTTCGGTTTGACGGCCAAGAAGGAGTGTTTCTGTACAACGGGCCAATGCGGTTTTTCTTTGACGCTTTGAACGAGGGCAAAATACCTGTGGATCTGGTCGATGTGCTTGCACAAGTAAACTGTCGCTACTATGAGGGGTGCTTGATTGTCGAAGTACACGACCACCGGCAGCCGGCACAAGCGCCCAAAGTCAAGCGGCAACGCACTACAAACCTGCTCACGTGGTCGAATCTTAGCAATAGCCAGATCCCGGAGCCCGGCACAACCGCCATCAGCACCGTGGAGTCTGCCAAAGTGTACAGAAAAGTGATGCGGCCCACATCCGAAACACTCAATCTTGACCTGCACTTGACTTGCGAGCATAGCCGCACCAAGCTGAATGGCGAGGACCTGCTGGAGATGGAGAGCATGGTGCTGCTTGCTGTGGAGCAGCCGCTGGATCTAGAGCCCGACTTTCAAATCAGTCGCGTGAGCAACGCCATACGGTATATTGAGTACGGCCACCTGCTGCCCCGCCATCCGCGCAAATACAACTCGGCAGAGATCGAGGCTGAGCAGGCTGAGCGCGAAGAAAAGCTGAAGCTGCTGACGCTTATGGATGACCGCAACAGCCGCGATTTCCAGCCAAGCTTTACCCGCGTATCGCAAGTCAACGAATGGCGCCACAAGAAAATTGTCAGCGATAACGAAGTGTACCCAGCGGCCTTGCCGTCCACATTTGCGGGTAAAAAGCCCACGACAAAGAAGGGCCGCAACCAGCTATCTCTGCTGCCCGATGGCCGCAAAGTCATCCGCACCCTGCGGTTTGTGCAGACCATCAACAGCAGGTCAGTGCACACGGTCTTTCACGTGGTCGAGCTTCCAGACTCTCAGGGTTTGCAAGGGATTATGCGCTGGGGCACGCTTCCTGACACTTCGATCAACGGCGGATCCAAAGTGTTCTCATTTCCCAACGAAGACATTATGCATATGCATATCGATAACTTTAAGCTGCTGCTTAGCATCGAGAACAACCGGCTTATCTATGACTCGCTGTATCCCAACGGACAGCCCACACTGGGACCGCTGCCAGAATCGCCAGCCGCACCACCTCCAGCAGCAGCAGCAGCAGCAGCAGCATCGCCAACAACCAAAAGCAGCACATCGGTGGCCAAGGGCAGTGCACGCAATTCGCGCAAAAACTCTCCCCAGCCCAAACAGACAAAGAAGAGCGTTGAGCCTGAAGGCAGCAATACGCCGGCCGGAACCAGCGAAAATGCCGTATTGGCGCGCCAGGAATCGCCTATTAGTGTGGCGTCACAGGAGATACCAGTGACTCCAGCAGCTAATGGCAGCTCAACGTCAGCCAAGACAAAGGCCAAGGAGAAGAAGCCCCGCAAAGAAAAGAAGCCGCGTAAATCCAAAAATTCAGGCACTGCTGAGCCAGAGACAACACTGACATCGCCAGCTCCAGACATTAAGAGCGAAAATACGGACGATGACAAGCCATTGGCACAGAACGCCGATGCTGCTGGCCAGGCAAATGGCCAGCTGCCTTTATCGCCACACACCACTGCTGCTGCTGCTGCTGCTGCTGCTGCCAAC